CCCCAAAACCCCAAAACCCCAAAACCCCAAAACCCCTTAAAGTGATCCTAAGATTGAAAATTAAGCATTTACAGATCTATGTAAGATCTTCTTCTTTTTGTTGATACCTTTATGTCCCTTTCTACCACTTCTCTTTTTACTGATGATGATCTTAGCAATGTTTATCTGGTTGCTTATATTTTGGGTCTCCTTCACCTGGGAACTAGATGTGAAAGATTCTTCAAATTTATCATGCTTATACAAGCCTATGAGAGTTACACAATTATGATATCTTACTAAGCTCCTTTTGATATCATTTGACAATCTTCTCAGTTTCCGACAGTTGTTTGTCCAGAATGGATCACTTTTCTCTTAATATTTTACACTCCTCTAATACTAAATTTTAAAACTTACCTTTGCGATCTTGAATTTCTTCGTTTCTTCAGGATATCAATTCACATTGTGTGGTGAAATCACTTGTTCTCTATTGAAGAATTAAAGGCTTTTGTCATAAACCGAGAATAAATAATTTACCAGCCCATTGCTCTTCACAGTGTGGACGCTGTTTCTGCCAGAGAGTGGTTGCAACGGCATTAGAGCACTTGGTTTCTTAATCTTAGAAGATGTAAGTAAGAAATTATAGTAATCTGAAGGTTGCTCAGGCTTGTTCTTGCTAACTCCTCGTGGGCTACATTTTCTCTCTAGATATTAAAAATCACTAAGAGCCACGAAGAGAATAGGAATGGAGTAATTTTGAGAATTTAGTAGAAAATATAAGAGCTCAAGCTAGAAGTAGCTTGTAATAGAGAGTTAGTGGTTAACTTACTTGTAAAGGAGGAGAAGAGGTTTTTATAGGAAGAAGAGCGGGTTTGGAATAAGTTTTGGATGCATTTTTGTATATCTGGCTCTTTGAAGGATTTGGATAAGAAAAAATTATTTGTTTTAGCATTGAATGAATTTAGGTCTTCAGTATAATTGGTTGGCTGTTTAAGAGATGTCATGGTTTCGAGGGAGATCATTAAGCTCCACAGGATCTCTATCAGGCTTAAAGATTCATAAAGTGATTCAATAGCTTTATCCTTGTTATCAAATCTATGCGTTAGGATGGATTTACTCAAGATATTTCATGATTTTATCAACATTTTTAGAGTCTTTGTGGATCTTTCTGAATTCATTATTTTATGTATTGAGAGCCAATCAATCCATTCGAGTTTATCTTTGATCTAAAGTTTAGAAGAGGAACTCACAGAAATTCATCAAGAGGAGATCTCTGAGTACTCTAAATGGTGAGATAGAAGTAAAGTTACTCTCTGAGTTTCTTGATGGCTACTGTTATCTATAATGAAGTTTTCTATCATTCCATTGACACATAAGATATCAGCTTTTAGCAAGGTGATAGCTTCCTTCTTGCACACTCCAAGTCCCTTCAGGATGCCATAGCCCACTTTCTCCTCTGCTTTACTCTCCTACACATCAGGTTTTCCACTCACTTCTTCAAAAGACCTGCAGGCCCCAAACTCTGATCATGGTTTTTCAGCCAAAGGGTTATAAATTCCTGCACGATATCGTTTACTGCTTGTAGACTAGAGATTGGCCAAAGTTCGAAGGCTAAGCTTACTTCGTTCCTTGAGATTCGTGGCCAGTGAGAAATAGGGTTGTTAGAAATCAACCCTTGGCGTGAAGTGGCTATATAGGAGGCTAGTGGAATGGAATGTGGAGATGGCTAGAAGACATTTATATAAGATGTGAGGTTTCTGAGCTTGATGGATTTAGAAAGAGTTTTATTTTTGATAAAGTTTTACAAATTTTGAATTGTGTCCCTAACAAAATTTTAATATTCCTGTCGCCTCAAGCTCACATATCAGCCTTCAACTTCTTTGTACTTTAAAATTTCAGCTACAAAGCTACTAGCCAATTCTTACTGCTATGAATTCCTTCGACCACAATTCCTTCATCTAAAGCAAAAATGAGCTTAATAATCTCCAAAGTTCCATGCAATTAAAGCCACCACCCCTTGCTTCTACCAATACTCCAGGTTTGATTGTATAACTTATAATATCAACCCTCCTTCATAATTGGTTATGTGGGTCTGAAGAAGCCTTGCTTAGTCCTGCAAGGATTTGGTCTCACCAAGACTTACTCTTATACACATTACCAATCTGGTCAGAACTATATGGTTAGAAGTGGCCTTGTACCTTCATAAACCTAGTTTGGAATTCTGAAGTTTCTTCGACTGGAAATCTGAAAAACTCATTTGGATGTTATTCGAGGGGTTGATGCTGTTACGACTCAAAATCGAAGAAGCTATATCAGCTAAGGTTCAGACATTTTGTGCATAAGGGATGTACTTACTTGGCTTCAGGTTCTATAAGAAATCAAACCAGGAGTTACTTACACGGAGACTGAGCTTGCTGTCCATTTCAATTCAATTGAATTTATTTTAATTGGGGTTTTGGGGTTTTGGGGTTTTGGGGTTTTGGGGTTTTGGGGTTTTGGGGTTTTGGGGTTTTGGGG